ACCGCACCACGACGCAGCCTCTGAAAAATCAAAATTTTTCGAGCGAGTTTGGGGCCATTTTATCTGACTGACATTTGAAACTCAGCTCTTACAACAACATCGTCTGGAGGGAAAGGCCGCCGGACCAGAGTTGTTGATGCAGCGAATATATCAGATGATGACGCGTTATACGTTGTTCAGTGTTGTATTCAGTGTCGGTTAATGTATAGGAAAATGAAGAAAACGACGCAGTGCATGGGCCAAGTTCAACCATTTCTCTCTCTCTTTCTCTCTCTCTCTCACACACACACACACGGACACACGGACGGGTACGATGGCAGCGGCCGCGCGGCAGCAAGCTCGTTCACTGGCGACATCGGCAGCAGCAGCAGCCAGGCTCATTGGTGCCATTGATCAGGGCACGAGCAGTAGCCGTTTTGTCGTACGTTCTGATTCGCTCTTGCATTAGCTTTGTTGCTTGGTGGGGGCAGCCAAGTGGGGGCAGTTGCCTGGTGCTTTGCTAGGAGCGTCGGGCCGTGTGTTGGCCCCGTCCGGATCCGTTCATGTTTTGGTGTGTGGGCTGGATGCGCGCGTCCGTGTGTAGGTCTACCGAGAGGATGGGTCGGTGGTCGCCAGCCATCAGGAGGCTACAACCTCAATTTACCCTCATTCAGGCTGGGTTGAACAAGACCCCGAACACATTGTTCAGACTGTTGAAACGTGCATCGAACAAGTCGCGCACAAACTCAAAGCCGCTGGTCTCGGTGCCGACCAAATTGCTGGTGCGTCCTCAATCTTGCTCCATCTTTGCCTCTGGCGTCATGTGCTAGGAGACGAGATCCTCGTACCCCGCACACGCGCCCCTTGATGTGGAGCGAGTGTCATGCTCGTCGAGGGCTCCACGACTGCGCAGGTGCCATCCCTTGCCCCACACACCCTCACCAAATTTTTTTTTCTCTAAACTGTTGTGGCTACCCTGGACTTGCGTTCCCACACTCTCTGCGGTGGGTTTGTCAAATGATGACACCCCGTAGCCGTGGGCATAACCAATCAGCGCGAGTCCACCGTGGCCTGGTCCAAGAGTACTGGCCGTTTCTTGCACAACGCCATCAGTACGTCTTCATTTGGTTCTTCTTGGCCTTGATGCCTGTGTTTTTTCGCTCGTCGCTCCTGTTTCTTGGCTCTTGCCTTCTGGTTTCTTGGTTCTTGGCGTCTAATGTGTGACCTTTCTCAAGCATATCCCTTGTACTCCGATTGCTTCCTGCTGCGCAGTCTGGCTTGATACGCGCACCGCAGGTGTGTCCCAGGCCATGATCGATGCCACGCCCACCGGCGACAAGTATCATTATCAGGTATGTCTGGTGGAAGCTGCTGGCTCGTGCCAGCAAACTACCAATTCTCCGCTCTCGTCTCAAGGACTGGCCGCTGCTTTGCACAGAAACAATGCGGCCTGCCGATTTCCGACTACTTTAGCGGGGTCAAGATGCGCTGGCTGATTGAAAACGTGCCCGCCGTGCGCGACGCACTCGTCAAGGGTGAGTTAATTCTTCTGGTTCCTGGTCCAAGTTGCCAAGGCTTCTGTTCAGCAGCCTTGCCGCCGCAAGCGCTTCTTAGCGGCTCCCTGCACTCGCCTTGATACCCCCCATGGCCACTGCAACCCCATGTCAATAGAGGACTGCCTCTTTGGAACCATTGATACGTGGCTCATTTGGTCCTTGACCAGTACGTGCGACCTGATTTGCGTTTCATATTGCCGCTGCATTGATGCCACAAGCATGATCGCATCAGTCTCTGACCCGCTGTCGCCACCTGCGTGCCACCACGGCTTCAGAGGGCAAGTCATACGTCACGGACGTCACCAACGCCAGCCGCACCATGCTGATGAACGTCGCACGCCTACAATGGGACAAAAATATGCTCAAGTATGGAAGGTGCCTCGCCTCATAACGGGTGGCGCCGACCAATGACTTTTCTCACCTCATCTCGACTCTTCGACGACAACCCTGCGCGACCAACCAGGGCTTTTGGCATTCCTGAGCACGCCCTGCCCCAAATCAAAAGCAGTGCCGAGGTCTACGGTCACATTGTACGTTTGATCTACTTTGCACCTCTCTATCCCGCCCCTTCGTGCGTCAACAGTGAGGTATCCACGTGCTCATTGCCCCAAGACGGCTCACGTTGCCTTTGACCCGCTGTCTCTGATGCATATCTCACCAGGCCACGGGCCCGTTGCGCGGCACGGCCATTGCCAGCGTACGTATCTGCTATCCTCATGCCAAAACCCTCCCCTCTGCTTGATTCCGTATTTCGCTCCTGTCATCTGAATCAAGCCGCAAGGCCTCACTGGGTTCCTACTATCGTTTGGTATCATCGCGTGGTTCATGACTTCTCTCCCTGCCTAACCCACACATTACCCTTTTTCTTCATCCTCCAAAGTGTCTGGGCGACCAGCAGGCTGCCTTGCTTGGGCAGCTCTGCCTGAAGAAGGGCATGGCCAAAAACACATATGGCACGGGTTGCTTCTTGCTCTGCAACACGGGCACCAAGGTATATATATACACACTCGATGTTTTCCGCCTTCCGAGGCATGGATGCATCAGGGCTGATTTATGAGTACTCACGGCTCACCATGCTGTGTGACATCTTCATCCCTGGGTGTTTAGCCTACTTTTTCCAAAAACGGGCTCTTGACCACCGTCGCCTTTCAGCTCGGCCCCAACGCCTCGTGCATGTATGCCCTGGAGGTAATCATGGTCACCAGCTGGCCCATACACATTATTTCCCGCCTTCGCTTGGTCTCCTGTCCTGGTCAGGCAAGATGCGGCAAGCTGATTGGTTGTTGCATGCTCAATCTGCCGCTAGGGTTCGGTTGCCGTGGCTGGCGAGGGTATCAAATGGTTGCGCGACCAGCTGGGTTTTGTGAAATCAGCCGCGGACGTCGAGGCTTTGGTAAGAGGCTTACGTGGCAGCTGCACCCATTTCAGTCAAGTGACCATCTCACTCTGATGTGCCATACCAGGCCAAGGAGGTTAAGGATACGGATGGCGTGTACTTTGTACCTGCCTTCTCTGGCTTACTTGCTCCCTACTGGCGCGGTGATGCGCGCGGTACCATTGTTGGGCTCAGGTGCGCATGTGTCCTGTTCCAATCAATGTTCTATCCACCCTGCCACCGCCGCGCAGCTCTTGTTACAACCCCACTCACAGGGCCACCGCCCATGATCATGTTTTAGCCATTCTTCTGGCCGGGCGCACATTGCCCGTGCCATGCTAGAAGCTGTCTGCTTCCAGGTACGCTCGTGTCTTGTTGGGTCGGGTCATCCATCAACTGGATGCAATGGAGCTCTTGGAGGTACAATGTTGCCTTGTCAACTCATGTCGGGGCTGCTCATGGCGCAGACGCGCGAGCTGACGGAAGCCATGGCGCGGGATGCGGGTTTGACGCTGACACAATTGAACGTGGATGGTGGTATGACGGCCAACAACCTTCTCATGCAGATGCAAGCCGATTTGCTGGGCGTCGACGTCGGTGTGTTGTGGCAGGCCTGCTCGAGCACGTTGGGTTTGATGTCCAAAACACTTGCGTCTCGCCTTTCCCGTGTGCCACCCTCTAATGGTTCGTGACTGTGGCTATGGCATCTTAGTTCGACCTGACAACGCCGAGTCCACGTCTTGGGGTGCGGCCATTGCGGCTGGTATCGCTGACGGAGTGGGTGTGTGGCATTTGGAGTCTATCCATGAACAGCGCAGCACCCAGCGCTTTGAATCGACGGTGCAGGATGAAGGTGCGTTGTGCGGCGGGATGGGACAAGAGTCTGATCAGTTGATCACCAAGGGCTGGCCCAGCGAGCCATTCTTGCCTCCCTTCTTCACGACGCTGACTGGGCACGGCCCGCGCCGGTTGCTGCTCCAACCAACGAACAGAGCGGGACGATCGCTACCGCCAGTGGAGGCGGGCCGTCTCGCGCAGTCTGGGCTGGATTCAATCTACGAGCCAACGTGATCAAAACAAGGGACCTGCTGAGGGCAAGCCCGACATGACAGCAAATGGCGTGTACTGGGGTCCTCTGCTGCTCTTCTTGACCATGACAGGTTTGACGGCCAGTGCGGCTCAAGCTCTCCACTAATGCTAGGAACCGCTGCGCCTGGCCACCTTCTGTTGCATGTTTTATTCCACCCATGCCTGTGCCTGATGGCTACAGCAATTCCCCTTGAAGGTGCCTCCTTTTTCTTCTTCCCCCCGCCCCTTGTTTTTGGGTCTTTGGCAAACACAGCTCGAGTGGTGTGTTCAAAGCTTCATCGCCCAAACTTGACCCTTTTGGCGACCAAAACAAGTGCTGACTTCAACAACCGAGTCTGGATCTTAATTCAGATCAGATTCAACTATGTCTTATTCAAGACACGAGAGCTTGCGCCCTTTCATAAGTCTGTCTTTGGTATAGATGTGCAGCTGTGACAACGCAACGAAAGGAGGTGGTCCGGAGAGAGGCTTTGGTTTTTCAATTCTGTTCGGGGCCGGGGCGAGCGCCCCTCCCCCTTTTCCTTATCTTGTTCAATGGTCCGTGCGCGGCCCTTTGAGCGGCGCATATCCATAGTTGACAACCCGACTTGATTCACAAGTCAGGACGATGCACGAGACAGGGTATCCAAGAGCATGGTCAAGGAGAGGAACGGAGTGGCAGCATAGCCCTCCCTTACATGGTCAGCTCCATGATGGCGTTGACAATGTCGTTACCGCTCTTCTTGAGGGCCTGGACGGCCTTGGCGCGGGAGCAGCTGGCCTGGGCCATAACGAGCTCAATGTCCTTGGCAGCAACGCCAGTCTCATCGACCTCCTCGTTGTCAGCGGCAGCCGACTCATCGGCAGCAGCAGCAGCGGGCTGGGCATCGGCCACGGCGGGCTCGACATCATCGGCAGCGGCCTCAGGAGCCATCTTCTGGGCGGCCTGGGAGAGGCGGCTCTGGGACAGGTCCTCAATCTTGGCCTCGCCAAAGATGACGTAGGTGTCCGAGCCGGGGGACTTGTGCACCTCGGGCTTGGGGATCACGAACAGAATCTGAGAAAAACAAAAAAAAAGTCAGTTTTGGGTCGTATCATGAGACCACCGCAGACGCTGGTCAAGTGTGGGCCATCGGACAGTGCATGCTATTTAAGCCATTCATGTCATGCCACGTACGTTCTTGCTCTTGCGGATGGCAACGCGGCTGACACCCTCGACGGGCTTCAGGCCGAGCTTGCTCATGGCCTTGCGAGCCTTCTTCTCGCTGCGGCTTTGGCCAGGGCCATCCTCGCCATCCTCGCCCTCATCACCACCGGCGGCAGCAGAGCCGTCAGCGGCCTCGAGATCGGGGGCCTCCTCATCATCATCGACATCGACGTCATCGACGATTTCTGCCAGCACCGCCACCACCACAAGCGCGAGCGAACACACGCACACACACGCACAAAGAGGAAAAAGGGTGTCAGGAACCAGCGCGTAGAGGAACCTGTGATAGCTGCTTACGGCGAGCACGCACGCGCGCACACACACCTTCAATCTTGGGCTCCTCAGCGGCCATGGCTACGGTGTTTGAGTATGCGGCGAAGCACGAGCAAGATGCAACACTATGGATACCAGAAGCACCAGTGAGAACGCCGCCTGGCACTCATAAGCAGACACGGGTCTGTTAAGTCGGCCGCTCATCCACGCCCATTTACTTCAACCCGCAATTCCCCACGCCCCACCCTGCCCTGCATTCACCCCGTCCCCCATCCTGCTTCAAAAGCTCTGCCGGCAGCCCGTTCGAGGCCGCGGCCCCGGTGCTCATCTCATCATGCCCTTGTACCTGCTGAAGATGGGAAAAGGCTCTCGTGCTATCGTGGCCCACAATTTGACTTGTTTTAACCCGGTTTTTCGAGATTGTTTCATTCAAAACTTGCGCCCAAGCCATTTCCCCTTGTGTTTCGCTTCACCGCCAGCAGTGAAGCGAGAACACCAGTTCTCAACATATTTCTCTCAACCCCCTTTTTCTCACACACAGACACACACACACACACACAGAACCGACGAGATGGCGACAATGGCGACCATGATGGCGGCGGCGCGACGCTCGCTGCCCGTATTGACGGCGCGTCAGGTACGGGGTGAAATTGGGGTGGGGTTGCGTTTGTTGTCAGTCTTTTCTTGCGTTCTTTTGGGCTGTGGGTAACAGGGGCAGGTGTCAGCGTATCTTGTGCGCAGCGCGTGGCGGATCCTGGCGGTGATGCATCCTCGTCCTCCCCTAGTGCTGGCTCACCTGCTCGTGAAATGGGCACATGTCTTGTTCCTGCAGGTTCCGGCTGCGTGTCGCTTCAAAGCCAGTATGTTTTTTTTGAGCCCAGACAGAGCCTCGAGGCCACACTATTTGATCCATCTGCTGTCCCGCCCCACTATGGCGACCACTCATGATGATTTGGTGCGCGCTTCGTGTCCGGACAGGCAAGGCCGCTGCCGCCAGCTCGGCGACCAAGTATGAGACGGCAAAGAAGGATGCTGATGGCTTCTACGGCCGCTCTGTCCATTACACCGACGTTCATAGCTCTCAGCTCGAGACCTATTACGACCTCATTGTGCGTGAGCCATCTTTTAGTGTATGAGCTTGCCATCCCAACGCTGGGACAGCGGGTCTCATTTTGGCAATACCATGTGGCTCGGTGTGCATGGGGTTATAGGTGGATATGCAGAGCAAGCGCTGCCCTCAGCCCGTGCCCAAGAATAAGAAGGAGCTCTAAATGGTCAGCTTCAACTTTTTTTTGATTGGCGCGGCCAGAACGGCCGCCGTGACTGGCCATTGATCTTTCCGACTCCTTTCCGGCACCCCCCGGGTTTCTTCTGATGATTTCTTCAATTCTCTTGGTTTAGGTGCGCCAGAATTTTCTAGTGTTGGGTTTTACAAGAAGAGCGTGCCAATCAGGCGTGCTCAAACTGTCTTACCCCTGTCGAACCGATTGTGCCCCCCC